ATTAAATCATCCATAAACTGTCCATTTAATGCTACATTAAAAGACAAGAACGTTGGACATTTAATGGCTGTAACGGCTTGGAGCAGTTCTGGTGCGTGATCAGAATACCCCCATCAGAGTTGGAGCAACTCTGATGCTACCAGAATACCTCCACCAGAGTCAGCAACTCTGATGCTACCAGAATACCTCCACCAGAGTTGGAGCGTCTTTTTGGATGATAGGTTTTCAGACGACATTCGTGTCCGCAGGTCGCCCACAACGCAACGCTAAATCGCTTCTCTAAATAAACCCACAACGCGCGCGCCTTATCGTGAAAGGGTATTGACGCTGCCACGTTGGGATCCATGCTCCGTAGCAACCAAGACACCACCATGGAATTGACGGTATCCCAGTCAAGAATCTCTACCCTGTCGGTCGGTTTCTTCTCTATTCCATCCACAAAGACATATTTGCGTCGTGCCTTCAAGGATAGGGTAATGGCCCGAGACCAAGCCACGTAGTTGTCTCCTTTGAAAATCACATGTGTGATAACATTCCCGGGTTGATCACCAGACCCCAAATAATAGGGCGATGATGTATCTCCCATGGAGGACGTTGAAGCCGAACACGCTGGTGTCGCTCCGCCGCTGCCCTAGCTATTCCGTTCGTGCGCAAGAGTTCAAGACTCCTGCTGGTGCTCTGATACCATGTTGGATCGAACACCGTAGGAGTATTTTGGGAGTTAAAAGTGTGTTTTCATTCATAGGAACAAGTGTATATATACACGTACAAGAAGCCCTCGGCCCATCAATTTACAATTAAGGCTAAACTATACAATTAAGACTAAATAATATAAATAAGCTCATAACAAAGAGACAAAATCAATGCTATAAAAAATAACATTTTTCAAAAATGACATTGACATGAAAAATATATTGCTTTCACTAGTAGAAAAATTGCTTACAGTGACACTATTTTAGTGACACTTTCCATTATTGTAGGCGTTTATGACACTAATGTATCGGCCCTAAGTGATTTTAGCATGTCAATATAGGATAGTGACACTCAATTTTTAATATGGAGTAAAAATCACGGGGAGTATTTTTTACTGAGTAAATAGTTAAACTCCTGTCCGCTAGACCTAAAGACCTCGACGCACAGACACATACCTGAAGCACTTCACGTCTCGAAGTGCGAAGGCTACAAAAGTCCAGATCCAGAGCAGAAGAGATGCCATCGAAGGCTACAAAAGTCCAGATCCAGAGCAAAAGGCTACAAAATTTTGTAGAAAAACACATTGTTGATAATGTATTATAATATCAAGAAAAATTAAACAATGTCAAATAATGACAACGACAATGTCAACATCGACGTTTTGAAAAAATGACATTGTGAAAATGAAAATGTCAATGATTTAAAAAATGACATTATAATAATGACAATGTCAATTTCAATGCTATAAAAATGACATTGATACATTGTCATATCATTGTAAAAATTTACAATGTTAGAATCTGTCAAAATGTCAGAAAATTATCACAATGTCAAATAATGTAAATGTCAATGCTACAAAAATGACATTGTAAAAATGACAATGACAATGTCAACGCTACCAAAAATGACATTGTATTGAAGACAATGTCAATTTCGAAGTCAATGCTTGCCATAACAATGTGAATGTTATAAACATGATCAGTGTTATAAACAATTACAATAATATAAAAATGACATTGTTTTTATAAAAAAACACAGTTTGACAAAGTTTTATAATATCATTAAATGAAAATGTAATTTACAATGACACTATATGACAATGTAATGATGTCATTGATTGAAAATAATATCATTACGGGAAATAAAAACAAAATAAAAAGGCAGAAAATATAAATAAAATAATATGACAATGTTTACATAATTTATTAACATTGTCGTTATCCACAACTATAGGCCTTTCAGCATTACATGGACTCATGAACCAGGAATACAAAATAAAAAGGAAAAATTGAAAATAATAATCTCAACTATTGCCGGTCCGCTAACAATAATCCCAACTATTAATTATTTTTGTATAATCTCAACTATATGGACCGTCCGCCAATAATGGTCCATGACCGCATATTACCTGCTCTAAAAAGTGAATTTTTAATAGAAATTAAGCGTAAAAATTAAAATTTGGGATTATATATAGGGATTATGACAAACACTTTGTCGTAGTGCGTCAAAATAAATTTAATACTTAACACTTATACATAGTATAGCGTAGTAGAGTTCATATCCACAAGGAAAGGAATAATTCTCTTCTTATGAACTAGTCATTAAAGGGTGGGTTTTGGGTTTGAATGATTTAATTTAATTTAAAACTAAGATGAACAACTTATATGTGATTTAATTCAAAGATAAAAAGAACTTGGCTTTGCTACTTTCCACTTGTTGATATATTTAGTCGATCCTTTTAAAAATCTATAACTTATCCCCTCTCGAATACTCAATTGAGGAGTATATCCAATTCATCGAGGGTAGTTATTAACAACGACTGTTCATTAATTACTCTTACTATTAATCAAATACAGAACAACGCCTTATACCGATTTAATAGTAGCATTTAATCTTTCTAACTCCTTGATGAAATCAATTGAGATTGATAACCTCAACACAACAATTTTGGTTTAACCAACAAAATTAATCTCTCTTAAGTTTATTAACCACGACCGTGCATTAATAAACCGAAGTTACTTACTTGTGAAACCATCAACGATTAACCATCAGTTCGTTGATCGTTTCTAGTAATAATTAATATTGAGATGTTGACTAATTGTCATCTTAGAAACACTCTCCAACATTAATATAGAAATAGATTAAGTGAAGAATTAATATTCAAGGAGAGAAGTTAAGAAAATAACTCACAACTTTAATAATCAACAAGCTTCAAGAGCAAAACCAAGAAATGGAAGTTTAGCTCCTCATTTGGAGACTAAAAATAGCTAGAAAAATATAAAGAAATACTATTCTAAACTGAGCTTAAGAGTATGGAAGAAGGGATTATGAAAAGTGAAGGAAAATGAGGTTATTTATAGGTGTTTTCAACACCTATGACCGGATACCCGGCCGGGTATTTGACATACACCACCGGGTATTTATCAAATCAAATCATTTTCCCACATTTTTGTGTTCTTTTGCACATCTTTCTGTCTGAAATCACTTCATACCCGACCAGGTATATGGAATACCCGACCGGGTATTTGATATGATTTCCCAGAAGCTTCCTCTTTCACTTCATACCCGGCCGGGTAAAGGCCATACTCGACCGGGTTTTGCACAAAACTCAGGTTTCTTCATCCTTTTTGCTTCCAAACCTATCCTAAACATATAGCCCAACTAGCTACAACTTACAACAAACAATAAAATGCTAGAATATGATTACAATCAAATGCAAACTAACAACTAAAAACTTGCACAAAACTAGTAAATAAACATTACAAACAATAATAAAAATGTATACTTAGGCCCTAACAACTAGTGCCTATCAGATTACCTGTTATATCTCTTTAGAAACTATAGGAATTTATTTATAGTCGGTCACGTCGGACCATTATTGGCGGAAGGTCCCTAAAGTTGAAATTATTCTGAAATAATCGATAGTTGGGATTATTATAAGCGGACCTCCAATAGTTGGGATTATTACAATCAATTTTTCCAAATAAAAAAAGTAAAAATACCACATTTTGAAATTAAATACTACACTTGATAGTGCTTTTGGAACATGCTTTACAAAATATCAAAACATGAGAGTATGGAGCAAGATTTTGGATAAAGCCATAAAGGATTGGATTTCCACCCTCAAATTCATTGTGAATACAGCTGGAAAGTCATTTGTTTGTATCCAGATACTAAATACGAAGTATGTACGGAGTTTGAAATAAAAATTGAAGGAAAGGAATCGACAGAGTTCTGTGTAAAATCTCAGCGGCGATTCCTGCGGATTCCGGCAGCGACTCGAAACGATGACTACACCGTCGACGACCAGCAACAGTGAACTCAACGGCAACATATGACCGCTTGAACTCATTGATATGCGAATACCTATAAGACCGAATCCGGCACCAGAACAGCCGACGACGACTGAACATGACTGAAGGCCGGCCAATCGATGCCAAGAGACTTCAGGCGATTGGATTTCTATGGCGCATCTCCTCTTTCAATGGTGTAATCCGAGTAGAGCATCGTTTCTGCTGGTTAATGATACAGGGGTATTATTGTCCACTGATGTTAAAATAAGTCCTATATGCGAGTTAATAAACTAAAACTCCTATTTAGATTCAGTGAATATGTTTTAGTGAATATCTTTATCCCCAATTTAAATAGATATGAATAATACTCCGTATGATACGTAGTATATATTAATAGGTGTAGAGATAATGAGAGAATTGAAAAAGATGAGGATGGAGAATTGGAGATGATTAAAGAGTAATGAGTATTAAAGAGTAGGAAGAATTGTAGGATATGTGTAGAAAAATATTCAGAAAAATATTCAGAAATATTCAGAAAAATAGAAATTAATAGGCAATTTTTTCTTCTCAACTCCGACCGTCGTACCGGTGGGCGGCGAGCTGCGATTGTGTAGTTAAGCATTAATTTCTTCTTCTTCTTCTTCTTCTTCTTCTTCTTATTTATAAAAATCCGGTTCCAAACCGGAACTGCCGGTTTTGGTTCCAAATTTTTGATGAACCTAACTGGACTAGTGAACCTTCGGTTCCAAACCGGAAGTGCTATGCGGTTTCGGTTCCAGTCTAAAAATCGGCAGTTCCAGTTCTAGTTGAGCCGTAAACCTCGGACGGGTCAGAGTCTGACCTCAACCTCCAACGATGATATATGATCATCATTTGTGATATTTGCAAATATAATACCTGTGAACTTTCATTTGAATTCCAAACTACGTACTCGTTTTTTAGAAAACATAGATGTATGTAAACTATCACCGAAGACAATAAAACTAGAAAGTGAAAACAACGAATCCTAGAAGTAAACACATTCATAACACTGTTTTCTTCATCAAAATAAAGATACGAATTGAATCAAGTCTATTACCTGGCCTAGCTACAGTATAATTAATACAACAATGTAATTGTAAGTAGCGCAGCTAGCTAGCTCCACTTGAAACAAGAAACTGAAAGTAATTAATTAAGGTAATGAAATTATCATCTTCGGTTCCTGGCTGATGCATGCAGCATGTCCTCATATGCTAAAGGAATTGCCGGCCATAGGAATCTTCATCACCTCGGGACACTGGAGTGACTGGACGGACCATAGCTTCCTTCTACAAATTAAATAAAACGTCAGAATTTTATCAAATTATGTTCAACAAGTTAAGCTTATTCAATTCATTCATAAGATAGATAATAATACAATGGATATTTAACTTTAGCTTATTCAAGGAGATCATTTGGTTTTTATATTATGTGCACACAAACGGGGATATATAAGGAATATACGTACGATAGTATTTAAAAGAATGGGTAAACTATTTTTTAGATTAAAATAAACTAATCATATATAATCGTTATTGAGGCTTAACAAAGTCTAATTGTCCGTTAAGACTTTCATATGTTTCGAATACCATATAGGATTTCATACTCCGTATCTTAATAAAAGTGTGTAATCCAATGCTTCTATATATGTTGATGATTCATATTCACTCCATGACTACACATGCGTTGTGCGGTTTCTTCTTTTTTAAAAAGTGATTTAAAAAAAAGTAAAAACTAATAGTGCTTGGTGAAAAAGTGTTTTTATGTAATAACAAATGTGAAAAACAGTTTAAAATACCCCCACTTTCTTCTAGCTTTTAACTTTATACTTTAACGTGTGCTATTTAAGCACATGAAACTAGTACCATTTGATAGTACCAGTTTCATGACGACCATCTTTTTCGCTTAGCGGGCTTATCAGTCAGTTTTTTTACTAAACGCGTAACTTTTGATTTCGCGCGCTGAATTGTGTATTAATAAGAAAAAGTAAGGACAAAGTTATTTTTTTGACTATATTGGATGAAATTACTGTAGAACATTTTAACTATTTTTCCATATAATTTTCATTTGACTTATTAATACCAAATATTTAAATACTCTGTATTATTTTTTCATAGATTAACAGAATCAACCAACACAACCACTTCAGCCAGAACTTCATAAATTTCAGCAGAATCAACCAATTTCAGTTTTACCAAACGAACTCTCAATATTTTTTAAATATTATTGAAAAAATGAATTACTAATGCAAATAAAGAAACCCAAATAAAAAAACTCAACAGATATACTTAGAGGGGTGTATTGTATTAGGAATTAGTGGCAAAATTTTAAAAGTACAAGGATTTTAAAAGTTGAGGTGTATTCAATGTGAACTTTTAAAAGTCTACAAAAGTCTAGGTGTATTCAATGTAGACTTTTAAAAGTCTATAAAAGTCTAGGCATATTCAAAGTTCCGTTCATTCTTATTGATTTCTAAAATCATGGATTCTCATGGACTTTTAACTCATTTTTAGTACATTAATTCTCTGCAATTGTCTCTTCTCCTCACTAAAGATTTCCGTGGACTTTTCTTACATCGGTTCTTCATCCCGTCCCACCCCATCCCTCCCCTCCCCCAACACTCCTCTTCTTTAGCCAAGTCATCCCATCCACTTCAATCTTTCTTCTTCTTCAGTCCAGCTCGTGCCACCCCTCTCCTTCTGTTCTTTTTCTTGTTCAGCTTGCCCCACCCCACCCCCTCAATTCACTCTCGATTCGTTAATCCCATATTGGTTAGATTCTAGAAGTTTCTAGAAGAATTGGTATGAGAATCAATAGTATTACATCAGTGCAATTCGGGTACGTCGTCACTTAACCATTAAGAAAATAAATATTTTAACTATTACTTTATTTCATCGTTAAATCACTAACACTTAAAAATATAATTTCAAATTAATAAATATATAACCGTAAATAAGTATTCAAAATTTTACAAGATACAAATGAAAAGAAAACAATTATCAAGAAGAAAAACTCGATTGCATCTATGCTTGTACCCATGTAGCAATGAGTGTAACGATTGTGTAACGATTAATGTTCTTACTCATTAATAAAATAACCAAAATTCTTGAGCATTCTTGAAACTTTGAGTTTTATTTTAATAAAAATAAATTTGGATTCTTATGCTTCATTTATTCTTGTAGAACTTTGTGTTTCTATATAAATTACATTTGTTTCATTTATTTATTTATTTATTTGTTTGTTTGTTTGTTTGTTTATTTGTTTATTTGTTTGTTTCTTATCATACTCCGTATTATACAAAGGAAATTACTCAGAGTAGGACTAAAACATAGCATTCTTCTTAAAGTATGATCATATGTTTGATTTTCTTTAAACATGACTAAATATTACATATTCACCCCAAATTTAATTAATTAATTAATATAATTAATTGTTCCTAGTCCCCTTGCATAACCAAATTGATTTTGTTGGTGGCAGATCAGTCCGATGACGACAACGGGGAACTCTGGTGATGGAGGCGGACGGGCAGATCTGTAGCGGCAATCTAGGTAAAAAATTTGATGACCAGCAGTGACGGTCCGCATTTAAAAGTCTATGAACTTTTTGAATGTCAATAAACTTATCCATGGATTTAAAAGTCCATAGAATTCATTCATAAAAAAGTTTATGAATTTAAAAGTCCATTGACTTTTTTAAAAGTACATAGATTAAAAAAAAATCCAACCACAATACATGTTAAAGAAATGGAAATATCCAATTCGCTCGTCGAAAAACGAGTTGGATGTGTTGGATTGCCATATTGATAAATGCAAAGCTTTGGTTTCATGGTCATGGCAACTTACTCCTCTCCCCGATAGCCTACAGCTCCAGTAGCCAATAGAAGCGAGGTCTTTCGACTTACTTGGTGGCTGCAGGGTCAAAGCGGGATGATCGTTCTACCGCCTTGAGGTTTTGAATGATTCTCCAAAACTAAAAAACATAAGTGTATATTCGGAAGTTTATGAAACTTTTATCAATTTATATATTGGAATTTTTATGTTAATTATTTTGTATCTTAGAAATATATTTAATTTCTTGAATACGTTAAAATTATAGAATTTTTATACCTTTATTCTCAGAGTTGTACCCATAAAAGCCGTCCATTATATATTCACACCACAAACCTTCGTTCCCTTTTTTATTGAGACAGATTTTTATTTTAATTATTCTCATCAACTTATAAGTTATAACTATGTGCTATGACCAGTGATATATTTTATTAAGCATTAGTAAAAAGGGTTAATTATCAAAATAGGATTAAAAGTCACTCACTTTGCACAAATAGGACAAAAAATAAACTATGTTTTCATAGGACTAATTATGTGTGTTTTGGACAAATATACCCTTATAGCTATTGAAATGTTTTAATTAATAATAAAATAATAAAAAATAATAAAAAATTCGTAAAAAATACTAAAAAATAAATAAAACATTTCGATAATAATAATTTATTTATTTATTTATTTTCAAAAAATAAAAATAAAAAATAAAAAAAATTAAAAATAAAAAATAAAAAACTCAAAAAAAAAATCACCGCCGCCTCTGCACCACCACCTCCAGTCACCCGGGGGAAAAAATGCCAAGTTCATTATGAATGCCATATTTATGACAGAAAACAATGGAAATGTTGGCATTCTCAAAGAGTAATATGTCATGTTTTTGGCATTTTCAGAAAAAAATGGCAGTTTTTAGAAAAAGTGTAATTTTTTCACAGCCCGGAGATGGTGGTGCAGGGAGGTAGTACAGGCGGTGGGAAAGGCATCCATATTTTTTTTAATTTTTTTATGGATTTTTACTATTTTTTATTAATTTTTTTAAAAAATAAAAAAAATATTTTTTTAATTTTTTATTTTATAAATATTTATAATTTTTTAATTATTTTTCTACGAATTTTTGATTTTTTTTTCGAATTTATTATGAATTAAACATTTAATTAACTCACATTTAAAGGAAGGGTAAGAATGGAATGAAAAAATAGATATGTTTGCAATAGGACTAATATGGTCCTATTTTGAAAAGAAAAACATAGTAAGTCCTATTTTGAGTTTTTGGCATAGTTTTAGTCCTATTTGGAGTAATTTTTATAGTAAAAATTATAGAAGTACGGTATATAAAAAGTATACATAATGGAATTTCTAACAATATGTATTATTAGTGAAATTCCATGGCAAAAGTACCTTGTCTTCACATAATATATACGGAGTAATTCACATAAATACTTTAGTTCTACTCCTGGCGCACGTATATACGGAGTAATATATACGGAATAAAATTTTACTAACCTGGCACACGTTGAAACCTGTGTCAAAGCGAGACGAAGATTCGGCCTGACCCCCGCCAAGCCGCGCATAATGGTCGGAGAAGCACTGAAACGGATATTGATGATCCACGTCAGACAAGCCAAATACGTCATCTGAAATAACTCGCCGGTGGTAGAGAGGCGGCGGATGGGTCGTGGTTGCGTAACAATCGATTCCGGCACAGGTGTTGCTAGGATCATCAGAGAAGCCGTATTTCTCACCAATCGGAAAATTCGGGATTAGACTATTAAAAACACCACAATTATTCCCGTCATCAGATCGAACATCCATTTCATGGGAATTAACTCTTAGATCCCCAGATCTGTAATCGATGGACCCGACAATTTGGGATTTGCCGGTAGTTCCGTCGGCGGAGCGGACGGGCTGGGCGACGCTCTGAGGAGAAGAGGGGCCGGGGCTTCGGACTGTGAGATATTGGCTGCTTTGAAGGGGCTCATGAGACATTTCAACTCTCATAACGCCGTTTATCGACGGCGATGAGGGACTTTCCGCCGATTTGGGGTTCTCTTGGTGTTGGCGAGTAGGGCTCCGGTGCCGGACACTGCTTCCTGCGAGGCGCGGCATTGCGCCGAATCTTCGGGTCTGGCTTTTTTGCGCAGAGCCGGCGGCAGTAGAGACACTGCTCGTCGGAACTTTTCGCTCCTCCGGGACTCTCCAGTCGGCGTTGCGGCATTTCTGTTGCAATTTACGAGCAAAAATCATGAAATTGATCAAAATGAACATGTTATAATCGTAGACCTTTTGGCCCGGATATTACTAAAAATAAGATAAAAGACAAAAACGTGACATGTTTTTAGAAATTACAAATATGTGACCAACATCACAATTAATCCCTGCAGTGCAAAGTGACTTTGACCAAAGTGACTCCGGCAAAGTGACTCTGCCACAACAGTGACTGCTCCACCGGCCACAATGACTGCCCCACCGACCATAGTGACCACCGCTCAGTGACTATCTCCGACCTCAATGACTGTCACATAGTGACCATCATATCACCCAATCATGACTGCAGTGACCAGCAATCACTGCATATCTACCCTAGCTTAATCACTTCCCTGCACACACATCCCTTCTCACCCGGCCTTCATGTGATTGCTAAGATCACGTGCATCCTTAATAAATCATCAAACTCATTGCAATACAAATGAAGTTATAGTGATCTCACAGGTTCACTCACGGTGATAACCATCAGGACAAAGCTTCTGAAGTAACATCACCTCAATAAAAAAAGTGACAGCTCCTTCAAAAATCATAGATCTGGTCGTTGTTGGAGTTCAATTCGGCCTCCCTTAGCTTACCCCTGCTTCGTCACTACGCCGCCCCTTCCCCACGCCCATCCCCGCCCCTGCGCTATTTCAACCGCAATCCATTGAAGCCGCCATAGCCGCTGCAATTGGTTGTAGCCGGTGGAGAAGAGCCTGAGGTCGCTGAAGATATTAATTGTTTCTGCCCCCAGAAGAAACAAAGAAGAAAGCGCTTCAGGAATGATGCAGAGATAATTGGTGTGCAAAGCAATGATGGGCGATCGAGGGGGTTGGCAGGTGTCGTCGATGCAGAGATAGTCGATGGTCAACGACGATAAAGAGAAGGTTGGTGAGCGACGATGATAGGGAGACGATAGAAGGGTGGTATGGTGCTGCACTTGAGGGGAGGATGGGGGAAGGGAAATTAATCAGTATTGGGTCACTTTTGTGGAAATATTTAAAGAGGTCATATTTTTGGAACCTAAAACACTATTAGTAATATAGGGGCCATTATTATTTCATAATTGTATGTCAAGTATTTCGTCTAATTTATAAATTTTGTACTTTTATAATAACATTTTGAATAAGGAATATTTTGATATATTTTCGTGTTCAAAATAATTTCGTATTAGAAATTATCATTGATTAAAATTGATTGTCATTTATTAAGAAAAGTGAATTTAACGAATATTTTTAGACCAAAAGGAATATAAGAGGTTATGTGCTTGGAATATACTCTTTCCATCTCGTAGAGAGATTCCCATGCGAATTGTTCATAAAGTTAAATGTTTTCTTGTGATGTTTTAAGTAAATAAAATTTATATATACAAAAATTATACTAGCATTCGTTCCATAAAAGTTGCAACAATTTGACTTTCATGTTTGCCAACGCGCAACTTTGACTGTAATTATATTTATTTACGTATTAGTAAACATTAAAAAAATTAATATTTTGGAAATTTACATTAATACAAATTTATTAATATTTTATACATAATATTTTTATTATATATATTATTTGAAAATCACAGTCAAAGTAAGGTGTGTGAATAGTGCAGAAATTCCAATGTTGCAACTTTTATGGAACGAAGGAAGTATTACAAATTTTATAAAGTTGTAAAATAAAAATTGGCTAAAGGGTCAAATAGGTACATGAACTAATTTAAAGTGTTCAATTAGCCCCTTATTTAGGAGGTACTGTACGGCCGTCGCCAATTGGGGCGGTTCCCGATGTAATTTTTTGATGAAATATTTTGAGCATCTTTTTCAATAAGTCTAGTTTACCCATATCAAATTTCAGCTAAAAATTAAATCGGGAAGGCAGTCAAATGATTTTTTGAAGATAACTGCGCAGTTAAACAGCGCAGTACAAAAAATTCCACCGGGAACCGCCCCAATTGGCGACGGCCGAGCAGAACCTCCTATATAAGGGGCTAATTGAACACTTTAAGTTAGTTCATGTACCTATTTGACACTTTAATGTTAGATATTTAATGTAGAAGATTAAGAAGACATTAGGTTGACCGAAAAATAGTGGAAAACTATCCTATATAAAACTAGAATAATTAATTACTAGTAAGAAATTACAAATTACGTACGTACCTGGAGATGGCTAGCTACTTGCATTCTTGTGAGGCCAGGAACATTCATCAGCTCAAGTATTTCTTTTGGATAACACTCTATTTCATATTGTAATTAATACATACACATATACTGCAATCAGTTTAATAAATCAATAACGTACGCTACCGATAAGATGATATACTTCATCCATTTTCCTTTAATTGCGGCAACACTTTCATTTTCACGTTTAACAATGCATAATTTTACTATTAGACGTATTAGTATATTTATTTCTCTATTTGTAAAAACGCTGAAAAAACACTTTTTCAAAATTTAAAATGAGAGAAATTTAATATTTAAAAAATTAAATTCTTATTGCATTAGTAAATAAAATGCGGTCAATGCAAAGCACACGAATAGTAGTGTAAAATTTGTAATGTTCCAATTGTTTAAGAATGGAGGTAAGAATGGTTGTTGCACGAGTCATATTTTGCAAACATTTTATTTTAAAAAAAGCGGTAAAACGCCATTGTATACATGTATATATTATGGAGTGGCATAACTAAAATAGAAGTTGTATCTTATTCCCCGTCTCAAAAAGATTGACCAATTTGACTTTTATTGGTCATTTGTGTTAAAGTTTTCGACAACGATTTTAGGTATTATTATAATTGTGTACAATTTATAAATTTTATACTTTTATGAAAGATTTTTTAATAAAGAATATGCTCATATAATTTTCATATATATTTTCAATAATTTTGAATAATAAAAAAAATTGTCAAACTTAATCACCATTAACCAAGAAAAGTCGTAGGAGAAACGTAGTACGTACTCCCATCTCCTAGCTGATAGACAGCGTCCATGAATTTTTGATGGAGCTCAACGGTCCATTCCGTGCAAGGTTTTCGCTTGGCGGTCGGGCCCTTGCCTCTAATTTTATAGCACCACCCCTTCTCATCAACTATATTATTATTATTATTCATTTCTTCAGAATAATGATCGTTTCTTATCAATAATCCCTTCCCCTTATTGTCACCATTATTCTTGAGGATTACTTCCCCAATTTTTTCCATCTCTTTGGCTCTTGTAATCCTTTCCCTCATTACATATTGCCACAAGTTCTTCCATGTGTCTTCACAGACTGCTGGTTTGGCAAGTAGAAGGAAAGCTCCCTGCTCTAAAGCCCTAGCCGCCATATTGGCATCGTCTGTGTCGGATAATACTGCGGCATTCAACAATGTGAAAAATGAGAGCGGTCTAAAACGATGCATATAATAGTTCACAAATGCGCATTTATATGATTAAAATAATGCACACTTCAAATGTACATATTGTGGTTAAAACAATGTGCAACTCAAATGCACATTTTCAAGTTTATGTTAACGCACATTTCTAGTATTTCAATAATGCACATTACTCAAATCTAATGCTCCAAAGTCACTCTCGTTTTACTCCTTGTAAGATATGTTCTCATTTGAAACAATTTATATAATTTGTATATAGAGATCAGTAAAAAAAATTAACGTGTAAAATGTGAAAATTTCACTTTTACCGCGCTCGTATGGTGCACTCGTATGCTCCTATAGTGCACTTTTACAAGTTTGTAAAAAGCTCCACTTGTCTATAAAAATGTCAGTCCTTTCCATCCCAAAAATGCACTTTTTCAATGGTTAAAGTGCAGCAACATTTCCTAAAGTGCACTATAGGTGTTAGGAGTGTATTTGGCGCTTTCACACATCAAGAATTTTTTTTATTTGACCCTAAATAACTTTATACATCAAGGTGTGGGGTGAACCCTAAGTAAATCTAACACAAACTATAGAAAACTTACAAATAACTAGCAATTGCATGCTAACGGCCTGGCGTAGGAGCTTAACCCCTTGTAGATCAGGAGAATGGATGTTTGCAATAATCACATCATATTTCTCCCTTTTCAGGGATAAAATTGTCAAGGCAGCAGAAGCACAGTTCACCCATGTAACTGGAACAATTTAAACCACAAAAGTAGAATATTAATTATTTTTCAAATGCCCATATCCTTAAATCCAATCCAAATAATTTATTGGAATGATCGATGAAAACTACTAACATTTAAATTAGTCTATTTAGCTGGCCCAAGATAAATTAATTATCACTACTTATGAGTACCTTCAATAATTGATTTGAAGGACGTGCTTGCAATTTTGAATCTAATAGCTTATTTTGGAGTATAACTTTTGGTTTTGCTTGAGAAAACTAATTAATTAACCAATAGAAGCTACTAGTTTTAATAGAGAGAAAATTATTAAATACAGTACATAATATTATTAATAGTAAGTGAAAAGAAAGAAGTTATAGCTAATCATTGGAATACATTTTACTTTGATTTTTTCCTTCAAATGTTTATGTGGCAAATTATACCGTGCAACCGGCGCACCATGAGGATGGTGCGCCCGGTTGCAAAACGACGGAGTATGCCTGTTTTTTTTTGCTTTTGTTGTTAAAAAATGATAATAACTTTTTTATTTTTGATCCGATTTTTATAAATTTATATCAACATTTTTTATTTTTCATGATCTTTCAAATGAGACCAATATTGCTTATGTAATTTTAATAAATTATCGAACTATTATATTAATGAGTATTGGATTATAAAGAAAATTGAATCTGTTTGGGAGTGGATCAGTGGCCACAGTTACATTTGATAATACATTGAGTTACATCTTTTTATGAGCGAGTTACATCTTTTTATAAGCAAGTTACATTTTTTTATAAGCGAGTTACATATATATATACACACGAGTTGCATTTGACATGTCTGAACGCGAGTTACATATATTTACACGTAAAGTTACATATTTTTACACGTAAAGTTACATATTTATACACGCGAGTTACATATTTATACACACGAGTTGCATTTGACCTGTCTGAACACGAGTTTACATATTTTTTTACGTAAAGTTACATATTGTTACACGTAGAGATACATATTTATACACATGAGTTGCATTTGGCCTGACTGAACGTGAGTTACATATTTTAACACGTAAAGTTACATATTTTACACGCAAATGTTAATATGTTAAAATTACATAGGCAATATTGGTCTCATTTGAAAGATCATGAAAAATAAAAAATGTTGATATAAATTTTATAAAAATCGGATCAAAAATAAAAAAGTTATTACCATTTTTACAAAAAAAGAGAAATAAAAAATAATGAATTGAATGCCCTGCTTGCCAAAAACGTATGCTGGTATACGGTGCTCACCATATACCGGTCATACGGTATACCAACTGAAAACCGCATATTATACCGTGGGATAGGCCCACTGTGCGCACGTTGTGCCGATCCCTAAACAGCGCAGTTTTAATTAAAAAAAGTCATCTTCTTCCTTCCCGACTATTAGACATGTCGTTCCTCCCCTCACATATTAGAAAACTTTGAATCTCTACTCTTTGATTTTGTGGAAAGAATCGGGGAAGGGAAGTGTGCTCTTTTATATATACTTCGTATATAAAAGAATTGGGTATTTATCTCCATCTGCATTGTGTTTATGTTGATGGATGGAGTAATTGGTTTATATGTATATTGATTAATAAATGTAGTTACATCTTTGTAAATGCGTTTTACATATAAATAGGCTAAAATTACATTTTCGAAGTTACATCTAACTTGTTTTCAAGTTACATTTCAATTTAAACAGTTTACATTTTAATGAGTTACATTTGAATGAATGTAATTTACATTTTTATTAATATGAAGTTACATGTTTTTTCAAACGATTTACATTTCATATAATTGTGGGAGCATGGTGCTCACCCTGCACCGCTCCCACGATATAACAAATGATATAAAACTATTATATATTTATATATTGAAGTGATTGTTGGATCCCATAACTTGAAATTTCTAAATTCAATACTCCGTATTAATTAAATCTTTGCAACAAATTGAATGGGATTCACCAACACAAATTAGCGAATAGATCCAAACG